CTCCATTGTTCATAAGCCGTGTGTTTCGCACCAAAAGACGTTGGAAAACCTTTTTTTGTTGCATGTCTAAAAGTTTGCGGGTCTATTTTCCCGTTTGATTTTGCGCTTTATTTGGCAGTGTTTTCAGCCAGAAGTTTAAACTTTAGCTTTACGTTAAGGATATTCTCGCAAGTTTTTGGTCTCGGCGTTGAAGCTGTGGAAGGCGAATATGCGACAGTGTCGCTGCCAGGTCTGCATTGTTCTGCCCGCTGTCCATGTCCATAAATGTTAATTGCCATGACCAGTTCAGCGTAGCGTCTGTCGTTCATGGGCTCATGACTTGTCTCCCATCCCTTTTGACCACGTATGCATGTCATCACGGCTGGCGAATTATTAGATACAGATATGTGTGGGTGTGGCCGGCCTCAATCTAATTCAGCACAAAGCTAGCGAGTTTGAAACCTACTACCTTCGGGGCCATATGTGCTATGCTGGTATGGAAAGTGTTAATGTACAGCTGCGTGCGTACATCGAATCGTACATCGACAGGAGCCCATCAGTGGCCGTGACCTGTGAATAACCTGTGTCGAATGAGATCATACAGTCAGATACATCCTTTCATAGGCCCCGTAAGCTGAGTGTGGCTTCGCAACGAAGCAGGCAACGAAAACGGTGCTGCTCAAAAACTGCATCTTATATCGAGAAAACGGTGCTGCTCAAAATGCATCTTATATCGAGAAAACGGTGCTGCTCAAACTGCATCTTATATCGATTAGCATAACCCCAAATATGTTAAACCAAATCACGGAAAGTAAGAATGCAACATTATTTTTCGTCCACAAGCCAGCATGCTGCCGCACGTGATCCCGGACTACCTAACTTTGCTGTATGTTATGCTACATTTTGTATTGCAACTGCATGCTGTGACATCGCACAATCATGTCCCATGATGACGTACAGTAAATGTACGCACTACGGCTTTGCAGATTTTAGAATGCATATTCTCTGCAAAGGTATGTCACCAGACACTTAAACACGCAATACCTCGATGAAGAGACTGGCATTCGTGGCTTGGCATAGTTCCAGTCAGTGAGTGATAGTAAACGTGTAACATGCGCGAAGATTCCAGTGCTGAGAATGTTTACAGCATGCGCTTGGCAGTTCCCAAGGTATCCCAAAAAACTCTCGGTGTGCATCTGAGACATTACAAAGCCGAAGATTGTGCGCTGCAATGGATGTGCACCCTACTAATTTATTAGATGCTTTCCTGCAATAAGATACGATTATTTTGAAAAGCAGCTTTAAGTCCCAGCAAACCCTGGACATCTGAAATCTCAGCACTTTTGTACCTTGTTCTCGACTGTAACACTATGAGTTACAACGCTGGTGAACTGGAGCCACCACCAGGTGTTCGTTCAAACGAGTCTCCCAATGAGTCCTTAAAGCCCCACAACTTAGAAGAACAACTGGGGTCTGAGGAGCAAAACGAACGATTCCATTTGAGCCACAAGGTAATACGGTAATTGCACATGCATTAAACTAAAAATAATGATTCTTAAACGTGTTTTTTAAGTTTGCGTTGTCATTGTCTGCGGTATTTTGCTTCCTGTGTGGGCTCTTTAAGCAGCCAATGAATGTTTGATGTGGCCAATGAGAGGGACATGCTTGGAGCCAATGCGCCGAGATGCGTATACTCATCCTCGGTAACTCGGGATGCCCTAAGAAGTTAACGGTCCCTCTTGTGTCTCACGACCAAGATGGAACATCCAAGAGGGATGGCTTATGATCTGGGGAGGGCAGCGTTGACCCCTGGATGGAGGAGGGGGCAAGCCAATTGTTTTGGACAACTCAGAGACTAAATCGTTCTCTTCCACTGCATATCTCCCAAAGCCTCAGCGTTTGGAGACACCCCGCTGATGATGCCCTTGGTATGTAGTGCAGGATGATATTGTGCAGTAGCTTTGAACGTGAAATTCAGACTTCATCTCAAATAAAATGCATCCCAATTCCTTCCAACATCACATATCCAGCCAAGATATTAGGGATGCAATGAAACTCAAAATAGGTAAGCAAATAAAGACGCCTCCTCCTTCATAGCGGATGATGTCGATTTGTTGACTTCATAAGGTTTGCATCATCCAGTATCAGATCATTTATTATGCTTTCTTATTTGATTAAGAAAACCGTTTGGCAGTGGAAACTTTCCAATCTTCAGTAATAACAAATGCTTATTTTGAAGAGACAAATTTAGCATAGATGAATTGCTACTGTGTCAATATATTCTGAAACAAAGCTTGACTCGAAAGCATGAAAGCATGACTCGCTCAGTCTGATCCGACAACGGAGTGTTAAACGAAACCATATATCTCTGAGGTGGTTTTTCAGACAATCGCACAATTGAATACATGATTATAACAAATTTCCTTGATCTAGGGTCAGGTATGAGGGCTAAACCTGGGTCTAAGCAGCCTCTCATCCGACATCTCAAAGGTCAGAGTAAGTCACTGACCTCAAACGACCCAGTTGAACATGTGTTTAGAAACATATCGCCGAACGTAATCTTTAACACTGATTCAACTGAAAAATAAAAATAATACCGTACGATTTTCATCGCCATGTTCTTTGAAATGCAAAATGAGGTCACTGACATTAAATTAACACCAGTGACCTGCTTAGAACAGATATCTAGGTGCAAGATGGTGGCATGGGGAGCTCTGGAACATTTTGGAATCAATTCGAAGTTTGATCTTGTTTGACCATATTTAACCCAACCATCATAATTTGTGAGTCTCGAGTTTTGAGCAAGTGATTTCACAATCGGACCAGCACATCCTGTGAGTTTAATGTTTCTAGTTATCTCGGTATTTGATATTTTAGGGGTCCAGATCGGTCACTCACTAGACCAAAGGGTATTTCACCGGGCACCCGGGCGCGTTTTAACTTTTCGTCTTTACAGCCGCACTCTTAGGATTTATTAAATAATTTTGTTGTGAAACCTGTCCTTTCTGTTTTTTTTTTAACGTAAACTGGCTGCTTTGCACCTGCATACCGCTCTTGGCGTTTGCTATATTCAGCAGTATAACGGCTTGAAGTCTCCACCCTCCAGTTTTGTTTAAGTCCAGCCAATTATGTTCTGTTAGTTTCGTTGCTTTATTTTATCTTGATTATGCTTTCGTGAAAATTTCACCACAAAATAACAAAATCTTATGAAAGATACCTCTCAAGCAAGAACCATCGTTATTGATATAAGTAACCTGCATCAAGACATCGTTTCCCATGGATTTGGCTATTGTCATCTAAACTGCTCAAAGTTGCCCTGGGGCATGACGTCAAAGAAACACAGCCCTAAATGGATGTACATGATGAATATCAACATCACCTGTGGCCACCACCTGACCAAGTGTAACTCCAGATTAGCTATGAAGCCCAAAGTCCCGAATAAACGCGCACCTTGGACGGAGGAGAAGTCCCCTGAACTACCTAAAGTTTATTCATCAGCTACGTTCGTGCAAGTTGCGTTTATTCCAAGCAAACCCACTAGTAGCCAGGACAGCTAAACACACAGCTCTTTTGCTTCAGAAATAAGCCCCACGCAGCTCTCCTTCCACCCAGTCAGAGTCCGGAGTCGTGCTTCAGAAATAAGCCCCACGCAGCTCTCCTTCCACCCAGTCAGAGTCCGGAGTCATGCTTCAGAAATAAGCCCCACGCAGCTCTCCTTCCACCCAGTCAGAGTCCGGAGTCGTGCTTCAGAAATAAGCCCCACGCAGCTCTCCTTCCACCCAGTCGGAGTCCGGAGTCGTGCTTCAGAAATAAGCCCCACGCAGCTCTCCTTCCACCCAGTCAGAGTCCGGAGTCGTGCTTCCACCAAAGTTAAAGGTAAAGTAAAGGTAAAGTTCCGGCTCAGTAATGTCGCATGGCGTCATGGCGTCGCGGCTGCCACACTGTCAGCGCCTCTGCCATGGCGTCGCGGCTGTCACGCTGTCAGCGCCTCGGCCATGGCGTCGCGGCTGTCACACTATCAGCACCTCGGCCATGGCGTCGCGGCTGTCACACTGTCAACGCCATGAAGGGTGGAGCGCAGTTGTGGCTGCCAGCTGAGAACCCATCCGTGCTATTTAGCGACGCCGTGGCCTCCGGGGAAAGAGCAGCAGGAGCTGAGCAGGCTGAACTTTAGCACGTGAGTTTGAAATGGTGAGCCGCAGACAAGTGCTTGTTTGCGCTATCTCCAGCTTGTATCGTCCTGCTCTTAACATGCTCAAAAATATCCCATAAGTGGCCTATGATCTGCTTGCTTGGCGCGGTATGGGGACGAGCCCGCGTGCCGGTGCGTGCGGTTTGCCTAACCGTAGACATTGTTCCGGTGATCCACGGTGTTTGGGCGATGGTTAGAATATAATCATGCTAAGGATATTAAGATCAATGCATACCTTTTTCATTGAGCTCATGTCGTGATGAATTTCATCTTCAGAATAAAGAGCGATTCTGGAGAGTTTGTCACTGTCGTTACTTATACTTGTTACTGTTGTTACTGAGTAACAGACTCTGCTGAGTTTGTTAGCATCTACAATAAGTGGGCAGCTGCTGAGTTGTGCGCTCAGCGCGGGGTGGTCAGGACGCGGCGTTGGGCAGTTCAGTGTTCAGCGACGATTGCGCCACCTGGGCTCGCCAGTCGTGGTCGTGAGCAGACAGCTGAGGGAAAAGCGGGAAGCGGACATTGCTGGCTTGTCTATAACAAACTACTGGGGAGTTAAACGTAGACGCGTTCACCGTTTCCAAGAGGTTGAAAAGCGCTTGCAGATGGCTTCCAACACAGATTGCTTTCGTACGTCATTATTGTGAGCGCCTCGGCATGCCGGCTCATGCTGTTACCCCTGCTGAGAGGCAGTTTTGTTGCGATCGGACAAGCGATTAAGCCTCCTCACTTCCAGCGTAGTGACACTTCGTTTCAGTGTCAGTCATGACGACTTCTCGTCACCGATGAAAGCAGTATATTTATGCTTTACACAAAAGTACATGGCCAATAAATTATCACACCGATCACTTGCAGCTGAAGAGGACAAGCGGACACCAGAAAGTTATTTCATTTCGGATATATCTAATGGCCATATCCGTATCCATGACTATGACCGTAGGTGTGGGCGTATCCACCTCCATATCCACCACCGTAACCGTATCCTCCGCCGTATCCGTATCCGCGTCCATGGCCGTATCCACCACCATATCCACTGTTATGTCCGTATCCGCTGAAAATAGGTGTACATTAGTTTCCAAAAGTTCATTGCCCTTAAGTTTCTACTCATATAATAACATTCATTAAGACGCAGAGCTACTTATCCGAAAGTAAAGCTAAACAACAGTGTATGGCTCACAATTGGTGTGATCCAGAAAATGGTTCTCATCCACCTCCAGAATTTCGAGTGAGTGCCAGTGTTTATTTCTCCACGTTACTAATAGGTTGCTATCTCATTCATACATCTGTTTTATGTGCTGCGTGGTCCTACATAGACCCACAAGTGACCTTACGCGTATTATTACGGATGCAAACCCATTTTACAAGGGGTGACATGAAAAAGTGCCCATACACTTACAAATACCTCAAAATGCTTGCAGCATGCCAACTGTTCTTGATTGCTCCGGCAGCAACATTAAGCTGCAAACGTCTCCTTATATCGATAAATTATTTAGACGAGAGGACGCAAAACTCAACGCACTTGGAAAATTCAGCGTCTTTTCTTAGAGTTATCAACGTAAGCTTGCACCACGCCCCAGTGTGACTTCAACATTAGGTTCACCATGTCCCAGTGTGGCTGGAGCATTAGGTGCACCACGCCCCAGTGTGACTTGAGCATTAGGGGCACCACGCCCCAGTGTGACTGGAGCATTAGGCGCACTACGCCCCAGTGTGACTGGAGCTTGTTGTGCGCAGTTCTCGTGAGCCAGGTCGTCTCGAAGTTTTCCACTTACCCATACGTCGGGTGCACGATCTGGGAGCCGTACGCCGACCCTCCGTAGCCGTCATAGCTGAAAACAACGCCAGCCGGGTGACAACTGAGAATGCACCGCGTCAGCGTGGCCCCACGACACCCGCGATCTGGTCTCGCTGCAAGACGAACCGATCTAATTATGTTCTCTATGTCATGCACGCTGCCGTTTAAAGCGCACGACAGACGTGACATGGAGCGCGAGATGTACTCACGTCCGAACGTGGGTGTGGCTGAGGGCCTCGCCGTAGCCGCTGGCGGCGGCGGCGGCCACGCACATGGCGAAAACGACAACCTGAAACGCACGGGAAACGTCAGACACCTTCAAACCGCATGCTTACACATCGGCGACGTTACGGCGTCAGAGGTCAAAACGAAAGCGGGCATTGATATCGTACATTTGTACCACTTAGCATCTGTTCCGCCTCTCTGACCGCGGTGTAATTGTCAGACCTCGATACATGAAAGCGCTACAAGATCCCGTCCCCTTCCCAGGCCCTGCAGGCTGCGGAAATCACGGCCGGCGATCAGAGGTGAAGTCTAACCGTTTCATTCATCGCTTGGCTTCCTTTCCGTTTTACTGAGGCCAGCTTAACCAATATTGCCAACTTACGTCTCACACCCCAAAATGTTGCCTTGCATGAAATGGTGTGGTTAATTTTATTTTTTTATTTTTTTAAATTAAATATTATATAATATAATATATAAATATATATATATATACATATATACATATATATATATATACATATATATATGTATATATATACAATAAATAAATATATATATAAAAAATTAAAAAACGTTAATTACTTTATATTCAGTTTTATCTCAGCAAAATGTTTTTGTAAACCTGAAACGATATCGTAAGTTTTCTTTGTTTTGGCTAAGCATTATGTTTTTCTGCTAATCATATTGCTTATTTGACCAAATACCTCCGTGCTTATTTTTGTTCACGATTTCCCGCCCATGCCCCAAAGCATTTCAAACAAACAGCTTCCTCACTCTCCAAAAGCCCAGCTGTTTTGTGGCCTATGCCACAAACGTACCTCGGACTTTTCCCACATCCGCCCTTACCTTGATCATGTTCGGGTTTCTTGTCTGTAATGACTGCCTCTGCTGGGCTAACGCAGACTCTATATACCAGATCACGTAACCCCCTGCATGGGCGGGGCCGTCTCGTGACTCGCCCGCCCCGGACAGGGCAGCAAAGGCCACACAATCTCCTTGACTTCTGAGACACCCCCGCTGCTCCAAATGTGACCTTTAATGGTGCAGCGCGGCGGGCTGGACGGCTATTCGACGCAGCATCTGGCCAGTCTGTGCAGTGCGCCGGGCTGGACGGCTATCCGGCGGAGCACCTGGCCAGTCTGTGCAGCGCGGCGGGCTGGACGGCTATTCGACGCAGCACCTGACCAGTCTGTGCAGCGCGGCGGGCTGGACGGCTATGCGGCGGAGCACCTGGCCAGTCTGTGCAGTGCGCTGGTGACGGTGCGTAGCGGTCTCAGCCACTGTGGTTAATGATGTCGGCCACGTATGATCAATCACACCGACAGCTGAATGGTCATGCCGGATACACACATATGATCATACCCTCTGTGTGACATGAGCGGCTGCCGAGCTCCCTGACCACCGAAAGAGCTACGTTTTGTCTTTTCTAGAGCAAGGAAATGATTGTGTTTCCGCACAACCGGTCCCAATCCCAGAAATCCGGATGATTTACAGATTTTAGTACACGAGCGGTTTTCTTTGTTTTGCCTAGTGATATGAACCAGAATGCTGCCTTCATGAAAGCACTGCCAAAGTCCCATTGGACTCGTGCTTATGTCAGAACCTTGCAAAAACGTTGCAGAATAAAAAATGCTGGCAAAAGAAAGAAAATATTTGGACTAAGAGAGTAGGTCGAATCTTGAGGATAGGACACGTGAGGACAGGACAACGGTGGGAGCGAAAGAATGGGTGGCTTACGCCACAGATTGCACACTAGAATAGCAATGATATCCATGTCTTCCATTTTAGTAACTTGCGCTCTGGTGGAGGTCAAATTGACAACCAAATATTTTTCCGGGACGGTTTCCGAACGACGTGGCGTAGCCGCGCCAGATATTGCAAAGATCTAGACAAGACTAGCTGATCATCAAAAATTTAGATGTACTTTATAAGATCGCTGACCTAGAGTAGGACAGAGTCAGGCCATGGAATCAGCGAGGTCAATTTCAAGGGAGTCGTTCAATCTTTTGGAACAACGCAGTGCTCGACAAAGTCATACATCTCTGAGATACTTCCCAGGCAACACAACAATTAGTGAACAAATTCATTGACTGGGTCAGGTATCGAGGTCAAACCAAGGTCAAGACCAATCGGTTTTATAACTCTAGGGCTTGTTGTTTGGGCTAATTTCTGGTACTCATTTCAAATCTATTGATAGCAGGAACCGCATTAGACATCCTACGTGGACTTCTTAAGGGTCACAATAGGTCACTGAACTAAAATGACCTAGTTTTACATTTCGTTTTTAGGCACATACTGCCTGGTGTAATCTTTGTCGCTTACTCAAATGCAAAGCGCAAAGCAGTGTCGTATAATTTTGGTCACCATGACCTTCAAAAGGTCAAACAAGGCCAGTGAAGCATACGAGCGCGTGGCTTTTGCTTAGAAGAGGTATCTAGGCTCTGGGGGCACTTTGGAGACCGAGCTGGAGTCTGACCTTGTTCGACCTTATGTAGCCCAAAGGTGATGACCTAGGAATATCAAGTTTTGACCGGAGTGAGTTCACGTACGGAACAATATACTCTATAAAATTGATATATCGAACTCTCTTAGTTCCGGAGATCTCAGGGGCTCAAACTGACCCACCACCCGAGCGAAGAATATCCAACTGGCCACCCGTGCGCGTGTTAATGCAGACCAACAGCCAAACGGAGCGTGCAGCATTTCGAAAGCTCGGTGCCAAAAAGTATTACTAAACAGACTCACGGTATTCAATATGTTGTTCCCACGAAAAAGATAAGCCCGCGTCAGGCTGATAAGAGACAGCATGAGGCCTTATTGGCACCAGTGTCACGCGGACACATCAGCTGCGATCAGGTCGGCGACGCAAGCGCGTAGAATGTGCACAGAACCCCGCATGACCCAGGAGTCCTCTAAAATGGCAATTCAGGGCATCACACCAAACGCACTCAAATGACGCACCCAAATGCTTGGTGTAGAGTATTCGACCGTTCTACCATTCACTAGGTCCGACCGTCCTGACACGATGGTGATGAAATTTGTGCGCTGTCGTTATTGAACACGCTCAATCTATTCTTAAGTAAAATAAATGTTGTGAGAACTCAGACCGGTCACCACTGCCACCAAACACATCAGCGTCAGCGGACCTGTCGTTCCTCGAGCACACGTTGCGAACAATACCCGGTACGGATGCGTGAGGCATTGTCACATGGCATGGCAGCAGAGCAGCTTTTTCAACCCAGCCAATCGAAAGGCGAGTTTTTACCAGCAGGAATCCGGGTCACTGTCTCAGGTAATAGGTCGCATTCACTCCGTGCCTATTTGCTTATCAAAATTTGTTCAAGCTTTCAAGGCACTTCGTGACTAAAGACCGATGGCAATTGCTTCGACTGCGGGATAATTAGTAAGATTTCATGCATTCCTACGTGTGGTGAGCAGGGAGACGTCGGGACATAATCAGTTACGTGAGGTATGTGTAATCGCACCCTTACCACGCTCTGAATAACAGGCAGATTCGTCGGAGGCGTACTGCATACTGCATATACCAGCAGTGAGTCATCTGCTCATCTTGTGACCGGCGATAAGAAATCACGAGTGCAGGTCACATTTACGGGTGCTCATGGGCAGAACTCTCACGATAGGTATTATGCACGGCTTATATCAGCAAACCGCCGCGTAATTACGACCTAGGTTACTTTTGCGATCTTTTAAGTGTTTTTAGCTGCACTATAGCTTTAACATTCAGGTTATCGGTATATTCAGAGATGACGTTGAAATGTTCTATGCGGAATATGTTCCATGTACTTGTGGGACATAATATTGACGCTTGAGTTTCATAGGCTGGAATCATGTGTGTTAACTTGCATCGGAATTCCCTTGAAATACAGAAAGCAGTGGGAGGGACATTAACAAGCATCATCTGCCATAGCAAACGCGTATGACGTAAACGGTAAGCGTTTACGTATACGGTAAACAGTGATCGGCAGCCCAATGTAAACATCGCCTTACATCATTTACAGCCTACAGACGATTCGTTTGAAGAACGACAAACGTCATATCATTCTATGACGCTTATGTCATCATACCATTGCCCACCAAAAATCATTTCAACTACCGGTGCAGCCCGCAGTTTGAGTTAATTCTGCATTCGGCCTATCCACCTCGCTCCGTTCGCTCCCTAACCCGCCCCCCCCCCCCCTCTTCCAACGGCGGGATCAAAGGCGGGGCCCCGCATGTCGTGACCTGCTCTGACCCTGGTCTCTGGCCGGTAGACCAGCTTGCCGTCAATCACTCCAGGCTGACCCTAGGGTCAAGGCCGACGTGCGCGGCCCCCGGCTGGTACGCTGCCAATGGGGTCTCTGACCTCTTTCCGAGTTACACCACGGTCTTATTCAATTAACAGACTGACACTGCGTGAAAAACACGCCCCACCAAGCTACGCAGTAGATCAGGTGTGGCCAGGAGCGGCGATTGCTGCTGGGAGAGGAGGAAAGGCAAGTGAGGACTTGCACAGAATATTTAATCCAAGGAAACCTCGGCGGCTTGTAACGTGTTAGGAGACTGACATGTTTTCCACCATTTTTATGTCTGTGATAAATGCAAATTTTCTCCCTTTTCCTGTCCCTGGAATCGCCTGTGTCAACGCCATGGTAATACAACGCGTACATAAGAGCGGCCGGCTGTACCACTGGCAGCAGGGTAGGTGCCGTGGCGACGTGGGTTGGGTCTAATGCAGTGTCCGGTGATCTCTCTTTACTCAGACAACACTTGGGTTCTTGGGAGTGTAACCAGTGTCGGGGTTAACTGTGTTCAGTATACCGAAATATGTCGAGGGTATATTTCGGGCAACCGTTCCACACGTCCTTGAGAGACAATTGGCTGCACAACACAGATGACATGGAACAGCATTGGCCGTATGCTGGCATAGGCACAGCATCGGAACCGCCACTTTCGAGCCTTTGGGGCCAAGGAACGCAAGCTGCTTAAAGCCGAAATATTGTTTTGTGGGTTTTTAGTAGCCCGTGGGTTTTAAAAACAGTCTTGTGGGTTTGAGCCGATTTTCAAAACACGTTATAGAGATACCAAATTATATATATTCTTCCGAAACCAACGTTTCTTTTAAAGTTGTGTGATAATTCGGTAGAATTGAGTCTCAAGTTATACAATCTTATGTCATACAATCCAATTCACTGACGTCAGCGACGCAGGGTGTGTACATTTTGCACGTAAGATAAAATGGGATGTTATATTCTATATAGGGAGCGGGGTTTAAACGGTTTGCTGAAAAATGGTACATGTAATTCTATAAGATGCTGTAAATTACCTGGCAGGTCCATTCAAACCCAAGGGCAGACGAACTATAAAGGACCTATGTAGGGTAGAATCACACATCTTTTTAGCGCAACAATGAAGGTTATAACAGAAGGCAGTGCACGATTTCTTCAATTATTGCTAATATTGTTTTATGAGCAGTGTGTTAGCAACACAGAAAAACAGGTGAGCCAGTATCTGGTAATACGTAGCATAGTCTTATGTAATTACTAATGCTGCACTCACCATTAGTTTGTAGCCGCGACGGACAATTAGGCTGGCGGTTCTATGAGGTCTTTTTCATGGAAGCTTCCTCGTCGGGCTGATGACAGCCTAGGTCTCGAAGCTCTGCTGCGAGGTGCAACATGATTGTATAAGTTCAAAAGGAGCTCTTTTACTAGGAGGAGGAGCGCAAAAGGAGCGCTTTTAGCTGCATCTACCCGTTACTCCGCATGTCTTGGTACGTCTCATGAAAAGTTATGACACAATAATTGGAAGCCATAAAAGACATTTAGCCTGACTTCACCACCCAAAAAGAAAAATCGCGTTGAAT